GCTCCTCAGCTGAGGTATCATCAATAACTGACAATATATCGGAATGCGAATCTTCAAAATTATCGACTATTTTTTGCAAAGTAGAATAATGAGCAATAAATATGTCAATTTGAGTAGGATCAGTTTTAGCCAGTTCTGCGACAGCAAACATCTTCCTCAAACGATTAAAAGCTAAAGTACGTTTACGACGCAATGTCGATAAATCGGCAACAGTTAGTCCATCATCAATAGGTATACATTTGGAATTGCGTTTTTTAGCCATGGTATCTGGTTTAGAGCGGCGACGTATATTGTATGACATGTTAGAAAGGTATATAAATTAAAATTAAAACGATTTAATTTTGTCCTGGAAAAAATTAAAAATCACTGTCACCCTACTTTATTTCCTTATAGCGAAAATTAAGTACGGGACGAAGCGTAATAATGTAATATGCAAATAGAACAAATAGAATCGTTCGTATGTAAACCAAAATATTTAAACGCAATTTGCAAAATCTATAATGTCATTTAGGTATAGGTCACCTGTTTACGTACTCAGCTGATTACCGAAAAAATGCGCTTTAGTTATCGGTTTATATATTGAAACGCTGTGAAATCGATTAAAATGTTAATAAATGACTAAAAGAATTCAATATATTCATATGCCTTTGGTTAAATTACAATTTTTTACCAATAAAAATATTATGAGGTAGTTCGACTATGAAATTTCGAATGGAGAATTTACGTTAAATTTAATAATTTTGAAAAGTATTTCGATGAAATACGAATTAAATTGACTATGTTCAATGAAATGAATAGTTGGGAACTGAGTTTAACTAGAAAATATTCAGAAAATATATGAAGGTGCGACTTTAGTTCCCGGGTTTCGGCACCATAAAATATGTATTGTTATTGCAAATACATATTGGGGGCAGCCGATATATGTAATTAAAACGATTGAAAAAGGGGCTGCAACGAGATAACGATTAATACACAACTACGAATGGGTTTGCTAAAAGCGTAACGTACTCACGTTTGAAACCTTTGTCGCAAGCTTGTGGTCCGCGTATTCTTCTAGCTAGAAGGGCACATTAACAGCACACACAGTCACAGAAGAAATTCACAGTTTATTGTTGACGAATTCCACTTGTTTGGTATACCGCACGTAAATATAAGGGTTATATGATGTTAGCGAGTGCGCGGGCGCGGAACGGAGTGACGTAGGTCCTCTCGCGTGATCAGTGGCTAACTGTCTGCGTTAGGCTAGTAAAAAACCACATTCGCAGATGCATCGTTCTCGTTGCGAACCTACCCACATTTAAAAATAATAATAAATCAGTAACCACGATTAAGTGATAACGGAACATAAAATATCATTATTTTTTTAGGATGCAAGGACTAGAAAAGTAAGAACCAGTACTTCTGCCTTATCTCCGGCGCTGCGGGAATAGCAGCCCCTCCGCCTTTGCGTGATAAAGTCACAAGCATCACTCTTCTCAGCTCGCTACTCAACCACAACTAATGAAAAGCTGAGCCAAAACGTGGAACAGAACTATAGAAGAATACCGGTCCCGTAAATTAGTGACGAAAAAAATTATTTTTATAATGTATGATAAGTGTGCGTAGGTACTGACCGACCGCGTCAAAATACTTTATAATAAACTTAAACTAAACTTAAACTTAACAAACATGGGTTATTGAGTGCGAATACAATGTCTGTGCTGTAAGAAGTACTCTACTATTTGAGAATGCCCACAGCAATAATAAAGCATTTCACATCTTCGTTGATCACAATATCATAGAGCGAAGATAAAATGAAATAAAATCCACACTATGGGACAGAATCTTGTCCAAAATCCACAGCAAGAAGTCGTCCAAAATAGCAGATTGGGAATTCTTAGGCAAGCACTACTCAACAGTCGCAGGGGAAGATCTCAAAAGTCCAAAAGCAATTCAAGTCACATAAAAAGCAATCTCAGTAAAAAAAACAATACACCGATTTAAACCTTGGCAATACGCATGCACAAGCAACGATAATGTTAACAACGACAATTCGATGACAAGCATGACAGTTATAGTTTTTTGCTTTAGAATTGTCGCCATACTCCTTTTATACTGTGGAGATTATTTATTATGGCTTCAGTATAATATTGAAAAATAATGTTTCACGGTCTTTTTGATAGATAATTAAATATAGTTGAAGCGTAAAGCGATGCAAAACATACGAACAACATACTTAAAGTTGCTTTAATCACTTAAAATAAATGGCTCAAAAGTCATGATGCTAAGCCACAATAAAAAAAAGGAAATTAGACAATTGTTTCCCTTTTTTAAGTTTTTGATTTCAGATTTAGACAACCCTCCTCAATGATTTCATAAATCTATTGAGATTATTTTAGTAACATTTCTGATAATGACATCTATAGACGCTAAAGATTTACTTCAACAAATATTTCGCCATTGTCCTTTATGTACCCTATTCATTAAAAAAATATCATCAAAATCGGACTACTGTATAAAAAAAGTTATGCGTGATCATACATGGATCATACATAAAAATATATATTTTTTTTTTAAGGAGGTCCAATGGGCACCAAAAAAGAGGTCCAATGGGCACTTTTTGCTTTTGGGTCGAATCTTGAGGGTCCAATGGGTACTAGACCTAAATAGGTCATACACGTCGAATTGTTAACCTCCTCCGTTTTTTACGTAATTCGAAAAATAAGAGTTCATTTTTGATAGATAATAATCTAACTGACTTCCAGACACATTTTCGTTTATTTTATCCTGTCATCATCCTCTTGATGGCGAATGGCTCGATTTCACTTAGTAAAAATTCAATGGCAAAATTGTATGTATTAATCAAAAGATATACAACTTTTTTTAGTATTACACTTTTTTATATTATAAAATTAATGAAAACAGATGACATTTATGTGAAAAATACAAATTAGATTCTTAATATAGATAATTGTTTATTAATTAAATTCTTTTTTGTAATTTTTATCTATAAGACACTACTATATTGCGATACCCTGACAGGGTTCATATTAGGTACTTTATGCATTTTGTAACTTGTAACCATTTATGTTACCACATGAGTGCATAAATTGAATAGAATTGTTTTTTTTTACATGATCTTGAATATTGCTGCGAGAAATCAAAATAAGCAACTTTTTGTTATTTTTATTATCTTATATATAAAATTCTAGTGTTACAATGTTAGTTACCATACTCCTCCGTAACGGCTTGACCGATTTTCATGAAATTTTCTATGAATATTCAGTAGGTCTGAAAATCAGCTACTATCTATTTTTCATACCCATGATAAGGATTTTTCAACCCTAATTTTTTTTTATATATTGGACATTTTTTTTCATATTTTTCTTATAATGTGGCATTAAAAATACATACAACCCTAAATTTTCACCCTTCTACCGCTAACCCCTAATTTTATTGCGGTACGAAGTTCGCTGGGTCGGCTAGTTATCTATATGAAGAGAGGTAAGGCATAGCGGATTAACCGCTTGAATTGAAGCGCCCGTCTGGGCAAGTAACCACACCTTACAGAAGACCACAGTAAAATAACACTACCTTTTGGTGGTGTTGTGTTTCTGTCGGTGAGTAAGGTTCCAGGGCTGCACGAGGTAGAGGATTGGGTCGCAGTAGGCTCTTTGATACTATATTGGAAAACCCTTTTTTTTTAATCGAAAATGTCCCGTCCTAAACATGTTTTTTTTTAGTTGGTGTGCTTTTTTGTTCTTTGGAAACTCTACTTTCTATGGTATATATAAAATATTTTACAGAAACGAGGAACTTTTTTTTTTCACTTAAAAAAACATAACGCATTGTAAATGAGAGGTAGCGCCATAAAAATAAAAACCTGTTCATAAAATAATATTATCTAAATAGCCTCGTATTAAAAAGTTAGTGCCTTAACGAATTAGATGTCGCTTAATCGAAATTCACTCTCCCCGCCATACATTTTTTCTCAAGCAAACATCAAATTATAAGCCAAATAATAGGGCGTAAGCGCCATCGGTTCAAAAAACACCAAAATTTATCCCGCTTCAGCATTGTGAACAATAAAAATATTCAAAAAATTTTGTTGCTTAGGCGCCAAGAAAGTACTACTCAAATCTTTTAGAAAAAAACTGATCGACGCAGAAAAAAAACTAATTCAAATTTTATAAATAATATATATATATATATATATATATATATATATAATATAAATATAACTCATTTTCGACATTCAAAGTGGCATTAAATCAATTTTGCCTTTTCATTGACGAAATACATATATTACTATAAAAACTCAGTCAATGCAAATGCGTCGGCGGGACTCGGGAGAAAGCGGTTTATCGCTATGTTTTAGGTAGGTACTACGTACTATAAAAAATCAAAATTTTAGGTGTTCAAAAGATCTACAACTTTTTTTACACATGGCTGGTTGGTCAGTTTTAATTTTTGTTAAATAAAGTATATTTTATAAGAATAATTGAATAATTTCAACACAAGAGACTAATAAGATTCAAACAATGGAAAAATTTACATTTGATGAGGTGAGCAGTAGTTTCGTAGTAGTATGTTAATTATATCCATAAATAACACTGGTATTGTTAAAAAACGTAATTGTTTTGGAGAGCATTCGCAGAATTGCCTCTTTGTCTAAATTTTGTCATGCATGTCTCTCTGTCATGATTCTTAAAAGTAAGCACGTAACAAGTACTTTGATACAATATCTTGTTTCTTGTCCATCTATTTATTCTAATCAAGTTAGATTAGATTTTATTTTCACTGCATTCGGGTGAATTTTGGTACATACCTACACAGAAAAGTGGTTTTAGCTTATTTTGCCATGACTTGAGCGACACGTCCAAATCTAATAATATGTATATATGTATATAAATAAGCTGTGATTCTAGAGTTATTCTTTTGCGAATTCTGTCCTACCTTGAAAAGCAAAAGGGAAATTTTGTTTGAGGCGTCTAATAGTCGGAGAACTGGCTACGAAAACGTGAACTGATAAGGTGTAGTAACGAATTATATGTATAACCTCTCCTTGGTAGCTCATAAGTACAGAGCGAGGCCCGTCAGAACTAGGTGCAGTTCTGAAATTTGGTAGAGTTATAGTTTTTACCTGTAGGAATCTAGGAAAATGATTCTCTTTTTTTTTAAATTATTCTTATCGAACCTGAATATAAATTGTCAGAAGTCTTAATAATGACTAAGTACATAAAAATTGATGATATAGTCAGAAGTTGCTGAAGCGGCTATCACGACGGAAAGTAATGTTTCGAATCTAGTTTTCAGTTAAAATATCAATATCTAACAATTGCATTTTATATTATTTATAGCTTACTGAACCTGTACATATATTGTCAGAAAGCTAAATAATGGCTAAGTACAGCAATAATTATGATATGGCCAGAAATTACTGAAACGGCTATCGCGATGAAAAGGAACGTTTCGAATCTAGTTTTAAAATTAAATAACAAGGTGCAGTTTTGGCTATTTATTGATTTTATCATTTACACTATTATTTCAATAAAAAATTTCGCTGTAATCGCTGTCTTAGACGACGGACTTTAAAAAAATAATTCGTACAAAAAAAGTAAATAAATATTACGAAAAATGAAATAAAATGGAGAAGTTTTGCCGAGAGTTTACAGGTACTCTATGAAAGGTAGTTACTGCAGCATTACATCCTTTTTTTTTATTACAGATAATTTTATGCACATTTGGCGATTTGTTTTTTAATAATATTTTTTTTGTCATTATAAGAAAGTCAAAAGTAGATGGAGTAAAAGGTAAGTATATTTATATAAAGGAAGTACATATAATTATTTAATTATATAAATCTTGTTTTGTAACAAGTAAAAAAAATAATTTAAAAAATATAATAAAAATCTAACAAATTGAAAATACAATATTTAACATTCACAATCTGACTGCACATGTTCTTCTTCCTCACTGGCATACTCAATATCTGATTCATCATCTGAAACAGAAATTATTATCATTAAAATTCATTTTTTTTTTGTCACAACGAATTATGCAGTACTTGAATATTTTACCTTCAGCTCCAGATTCTTAGTTTTGATTTTGTTGTATAACATCGTTGACTGTTAAAGGTACTTGAGAGCCCTCAAACTATTTACATATTATATTTATATTTATAATTTAAATTCATGTATTGATGCTTGCTCTGCCCAGCCGCAATTTGTAAGCTCCAGATCCGTTGGAACGCGGAGGTGTGCATTTCTCCATACGTTTGCAATGTATCTCTCCCTTTTAAATTGCTGAAGTACGAGTAGTTCTGATTGGCAAGGATACAGACTTGAAGCAACGAAATTTTTCACATTTTTTTTATTAATTAATTCATTAACATCGCTTATTTTGTAATTTCCTAAAAATATTTCTAATCTAGTACTATTGACTAATTGAAGTTTTTTTTTGCAGAAATTCCGTACAAGTGGCTCGTATTTACTTCTAAATCTTGAAAAACTTCGTCTTCGTTGCACGATATATCTCCGAGATTTAAAAAGCCTTCGTGTGATGTATCACCAAAACTATAACAATTTTAAAAAAATAAGATGAATGATTAATATCTATGATTCACTGTCTGTGGTTGTAATGTCTCTCTGTGTTTAGTGTTTTAATGTTGTGTTTTAAATCCCTAATAAACCAAGCAACCATTAATGATTTATGTGTTTAAATTAACCATTACACATATAACATGGCGCAGTCGACTCGAAATCTGTAATAGTGTATGTACCTATGTAAAAGTTACACCATGGAAAATAATCTGGTTAAGTTACCACCAAATTTTGACATTCGATCTCAATCGGCATCTACGGAGTGGAAATTTTGGATATGTGTATTCGAAGATTAATTAGTGGCGATCAGCAAGGATGACGCCTCTGATAAGGTAAAGTTATCACTTTTGAGAAATATGATGGAACCGGAGTCCACAAAGGTTATACAAAGTTTCAAATTGTGTCAAAAGGATTCTCAAGTTTATGAGAAAGTGGTGGCGGCAATTGAAAAATATGTGAACCCTAAATATAACGAAGTCTTTGAGAGGTTTAAGTTTAACGAACGGAGACAAGAACCAAATGAAAATTTCAATCAATCAATCAATTATTTATTTGCAAATACAGGTGATACAAAGGTGTTAAATTATAATACGTACGCTTATTCCATATTTCACTACAAGGCATGCAAATTAAAATAAACACATAGTGTACATCCATTTACACAGAATTGAATTTTTTTATACAAACTTGAGACAACTCATCTCCAGATGTAATTACGAAAGTACCAAGGAAACTTTAGAGGATCAGCTCCTAAGGGACCGAGTTGTTCAGGGACTCCAAGATAAAGGACTCCAGGGAAGTTTGTTAAGAATGGATGATCTTACACTAGACAAAGTTGCAAACATATGTAGAGCAAGTGAAGTAAGTTGTTCCCAAGTCAAAGAAATGAACCCAACAATAGAAATTGATGAAGCTAGGATTCGTAGAGGCAAAAATAACACAATTTTTAACAAAAAGAAGTTTGAAGGTCCAGGAAATGATCATAAATTTGAGTGTCGTCGCTGTAAAAAAGTTCACGGTCCAAGGGAATGTCCAGCATATGGCAAAAAGTGTACCAAATGTGATATTTTAAATCATTTCGCAGTGAGCTGCAGAGTTAAAAAAAAGTTCAGGAAGTCAATAAGTATTCGGATATGGAGTCCAATGAAAGTTTTTTTTTGTGGTGAAGTGAAAAATTCAGGTGAGGACAATACAGAATGGATGGAAAATATTTTAATTGAGGACCAATATGTTAAATGTAAGTTAGATACTGGTGCAAAAGTTAGTGTTATGCCAAAGAAAGTTTTTGAAAATATAATACAAATTTAGGTATAAAGTTACAAGAAACAAGTATTAAAATTGAATCATTTGCGGGAAATATTATAAAACCGATGGGGATTGTAAATTTAATGTGTAAATATAAAGAAAAAATGGGTCCTGAAAATTTTGTGGTAGTTGATTCTAGTACCATGTTGTTAGGTCTGCCAGCATGTGTATCTCTGAACCTAATTAAGAGAGTACACACGCTTGTTGTTGATAATGATAAGGAAAACTTTATAAAAAGAAATATTAAAGTTTTTGAAGGAATAGGGAGATTGCCTGGATATGTAGAAATTCCAACTGTGCCCACAGCTGTACAAATTTGTCACCCTTCTTCAAGATTACCTTCATGTCTACTTGAACCGTTGAAATTAGAACTACAAAGATTAGAATCTAGGAAAGCTATTGTCAAGATTAAAAATATTAATAGTAATGCATTTGTAAATAGAATTGTGATTGTTGAGAAGCCAAATGGAAAAGTAAGATTGTGTCTTGACCCATTAGATTTGAATAAAATTATTGTCAAAAAACCCAAAATGTTACCTAAGTTAGATGACTTAAGTTTTAAACTACAGGGAAAGAAATTTTTCTCAGTTCTAGATTTAACGGAAGGATTTCATCATTTACTCCTTTCTGAAGAGTCGTCTTGGAAATGTTGCTTTGCAACACCCTTTGGTGTGTATAGATATTTAGTTTTACCATATGGTTTAATGAATGCACCCGAATTGTTTCAGGATGTGCTTGAGAATCACTTCGGGAATATGCCAAATGTCATAGTTTGGGCCGATGACGTATTAGTGATGGGAAATACAGCATTAGAATACGATGAAGCTCTAGAAAATGTTATAAGTAAGGCTAAGGAATTAGGAATTGTGTTCAACAAAAATAAATTTCAATATAAAAAAATGAAGTAAAGTATGTAGGGCAGGTTTTTAATGATAAAGGGATGTCTCTAGATAAAGGCAGAATTGAGTCTTTATAGTGCTTAAAAGAGCCAAATAATCAAAATGAACTAAGACAAATTATAGGGTCATTTAACTATGTGCGTAGATACGTACCTGATATGGCAAATATAATGGTCCCGCTTCTTAAATTACTTAAAAAGAATGTTGATTTTGTTTGGTTACCAGCTCATAGATTTGCCTTTGCTGAGCTGAAAAGAAATATATATAAAACACTATCACTTACACCATTTGACCCTAAAAGGAAAATTATTTTACAATGTGATGCATCTAAAAATGGTATTGGCTGTTGTTTGTTCCAAAAATATGATAATAAAAATTTAATGAAACTAGTAGCATGTGCTTCGCGTACTATGAATGAGACAGAGGAAAATTATAGCCAGACTGAGAAAGAGTTCTTAGCAATTACTTTTGCAGTCAAGAAATTTCATAGATATATTTATGGCACTGATCACAAACCAATTGTATCTATTATGTTAAAGCGAATTTCGAAAATAGGGTCACCTAGGTTAAAACGTTTGAGACTGAAACTGCTAATGTACAACTTAAATGTATATTAAATACCAGGTAAATTTTTGCATTTTGCAGACATGCTATCGAGAAATAAATTAAATTATACTGAGAATGATACATGTGTATCATTCTCAGTATAATTTAATTTAATTATGTTGCAAATGGTCCACACAGTAACTGCACACTTACCCATGTCTTCAGAAAGAAAACAAAATTTTATAAATGAAACTAAAAATAACCTGATTTTAAGCCAATTGTATTTGTATTATTTAAAGGGATGGCCTACTGAACATAAAGTTTTAAATAACTGTAAACAATTTTTTAAGTTAAAAGACAATATATATTTCTAATCTGGTTTAGCATTTTATGATGATAAAATTATTGTACCGTCTTCTTTACAAAAATATGTTCTGAATTTAGTTCATGAAGGTCATCCCGGGATTTTTAAAAGCATAAAGAAAGCCAGACAATTGTTTTATTGGCCTGGACTCAGTAAAGATATTCAGGATTTTGTAATGAGATGCCGTACTTGTGAAAAATTTAGGTCAGCCAACCCTCATGACAATTTAACTAGCCATAAAATACCAAATCGAAAATTTGCAAAAGTTGGTACTGAAATATTAGATTTTATGGGAATACCTTGTAATTGTAGACTATTTTACTCAGTGGCTTGAAATTTTGCCCTTAAATGATTAAATCTTCTAATTCTGTATTAAATGCATTCAAATAAGTATTCATGAGGTTTGGTTACCCTGAAGAAATTGTTGCAGACAATAACCCATTTAATTCACATGAGTGTCATAAATACTATAAAATGAAGGATATAATATTGACAACAAGTAGTTCACACTATCCTCGAAGTAATGGGATGGCAGAAAAAGCTGTACACATAAGTAAAGTTATATTGAAAAAAGCGTATGAAGATAGAGTGGATTACAGAGACTATTTGTTAAGTCATAACAATACACCTGTAACTGGACTGGAATATTCTCCCTTACAAATTTTAAATAGTCGAAGAGTCCGTACCCTTATACCTGTAAATTCAAAGCTACTTGACTCAAAGGTTGTGCCCGATATTCATAAATTTTTAGTATTAAAACAGTCGCTTTCTCAACAGAAAAATATTGTTAGAAAAAAAGAGAATGAATATAAAATAGGTGATAAAATAGTACATAAAACTGATAAGGACATGTTTTGGTGAAAAGGAACTATAATAGGAAAATGTAAGGAGCCAAGATCATATTGGATTAAAAAGGAAGGCGAGGAAAATAAAATAAGAAGAAATATAAAACATTTAAAAAAATCATATACTAGTAATAATAGCACCCTTTATTTAAAAAAAATAGTTGATAATGAAAATTTGTGTAATAATGAATACTTGAACAGTAGCAACCATTCTTTACCAGAAACACATGTAATTACAACTAGAAGTGGCAGAATTATTAAGCCACTAAATAGATTGAATTTATAATCTTAAGAAATACTTAATTATGATTTAAGTCTAAAAGGGGAGGTGATGTATCACCAAAGCTATAAACGATTTTAAAAAAATAAGATGAATGATTAATATATATGATTCACTGTCTGTGGTTGTAATGTCTCTCTGTGTTTAGTGTTTTAATGTGTTTTAAATCCCTAATAAACCTAGCAACCATTAATGATTTATGTGTTTAAATTAACCATTACACATATAACATCGTGTACTTTTGTGACTGTGACATGATTTTAAATGGACGTTGTTTCCCTTTATTTTTCTGTACTTAGCCATTATTAAGACTTCTGACAATTTATATACAGGTTCGATAAGCAACAAATAATATAAAAATGCATTTGTCAGAACTGCACCTCGTGGTTCAAATTTAAACAATTTCTTTACAACTTTGTCGACTTCTGTCAGTCTTTAAGCCCCGACCTAGACTTCTGACAATAATTTTCCTAGATTCCTACAGGTAAAAACTATAATTCTACCAAATTTCAGAACTGCACCTAATCATTTTTTTTCTTATTGAAAATTTACGACTGACCGCCCACACACGCCTTCCGCGTAAAAGCTACCAAGGAGAGGTTATATATATAATTGGTTACTACACCTTATCAGTTCACGTTTTCGTAGCTAAATCAGAACTGTCAAAAACTAACCTTTTGTGTTTAAAAACCGCATATAAGACGATACCGCATATATTGACACGAAAGAAAATCAAAATCTGTTTTAAAGTTCTTTATGTTGAAGTGTCTATGGTACAAGTAAAGCAAAATATCCGAAAATGGTCCGTGGTTTAAGTTTAATTAACAAGACAAAAAAGCTATACAAAAACTTATAATTTGAGTGACCTATTTTCTTCAAGTTTGCACGGATGTTTTAAATTCCAGTCAAATAAGCCCAAAAAAGGGGGCTCAACCTCGGAATGTGAGGTACCGAGGTAACAGGATGAAATTTTTCAGAGCCCTTCCTTATGACATAAGAAGTAACAAAAGGAAGTATCAAAAGACCCAATAGGTGGCCTGTGGCAGCTAGGGTTGCCAACCCTACTATGTATATAATATAGTATCCTACTACCCTTCTATATAATATAGTAGTCTGTCTGTGCGGAAAGAGAATGGGATTTATTTTGGAGGACGCTGTAGTGCTTTTCTACCGTATTTGTAAGGATTTACCCTTTTTAGACATGATTAAATACAAAAACCGCAAGAAATCACAACAACAAACAAATCCGTATCAATACAAAACTTTGACGTTTTACAGATTGTTGGGTTTGATTGCCAATTAAAAATCTTAATGTTAGTTCCGTTTTTCGCCACGCCCATTCCCTTTCCGCACAGACTCTACCACTATTATTTAGGGGCGAAATACTATATTTTGCTTATAGCAGTTTTGTGCTAATAAAAGAGCATTCTTATAAATAAAAAAAAAATATTAAAGCACGGAAGAGCAAAAATATATTCATTTTAAAAATAAAGTAGATATTTCAGCCACATACTATATTTTAGCATTATAGCTATTAACGGGATTGTTGCCATGTATGTAGGTACCTTGTTTATCAATTCTCCGTGATCATGGCGCTTGCAACAGTGCCGAAATATCGGGGACTCATAATAAACAAGGTACATGGTAACAATCCCGTTAATAGCTATAATATTAGTGACCATGAAAGTTTAAAACAATATAACATACTATATTTTTCCATTTTTTTGCCATCTATTATATTTTTAGAGATAACAGCTTCGAAAATACTATATTTGATAGAAAAAAAGTTGGTAACCCTTGTGGCAGCTGAGATATTCGTCGGAGTCAAACGTCAAAATATGTATTTTTCTCGAATATCGCGCTTCCTATTGCTCGTACTGCATTGGGCATGTAATAAAAGTTGTTAAAATTAAAGATTTCAATCGTTAAATGCGGCTTTGATTTGTTTGAGTGGTTTGACAGCGCCGAAATATATCAACACTCAAAAGAGTGAGCTCACTAAACACTGATCAGTGCTTATCTGAACACAGTCAGAGTTAGACGTTGGTAATTCTGCAGTATTATATTTTTTTTTGTCAGAAGTGTCTCAAAATGCCTTCGTGCGCTTTCCGAAAGTGCCATAATAATACTAAAAATACAGATAAAGCTAATGGTGTAACATTTCACTCGTAAGTATTTGGATTTCATGAACCATATTCTTTCGTTGTCATAAATATTGAAGTTTGATCGTAGAGCGCTCCACAGAGAAAGTACTGTTGGCAATTACTGCAAGATAAAAAGAGACAACACTATTCTCTCTGAACCGCGCTTTTCCATCGTAATGACTAATATATTTAGACCTGCTAGTGTACTGAGGACTCAATTTAAAGGAGATCATTTATCGATGGACGTAAACAACCGTGTATAATCCGATAACGACAACAGACTCAATAACTCAATAGAGGTAATGTTATACGCAGACACAGCATAAAAACATCTCAGCCATTGAATTTGTATTTTATTGTTGATTTTTGCAAATAATAATTTCATATTTTTCAATTAGCGTTTAATGTTTTAGGTTTCCGCAAGACCCACGTTTCAAAGAAAAATGGACAAAAGTTATACAGCAAGATCAAAGGGATGAAGAGTGGTTACCTACAAAATCTACCCGAGTTTGCTCTGCTCATTTCAAGGAAAGTGATTTGTATTTGACACCTACGGGCCGACGTAAAGTGAAACTTAGCGCAATACCTGCTGATCGTCCAACTTTGGAATTATCAAATGATTTTACGGAGGATCTCGGACAAGAAACAGTACCTAGTTCACCCCTGGAAAATGTATACGTGTCGGATACAGATTCTATTTTCGATTCGCCGATACAAATTCACCTTAAAAAAAAATTGGATGTTGAGAAAAGTAAAAGAGTAAAATATAGAAGAGAGGTTTTAAAGTTAAGGAGGCAAAACAAAAATTTAAAAACCAAAAATGTTTATCTGCGGCAGTTGGTAAAATCTTTATATATCAGACTCAAGTTACTTAAAAAAGCTGAAGCCAAGTATTGCCATTAAATTTTATTACCGTGTTTGTGGAAAATATTTTTATTTTTAAAAGAATTTCTGTCAATTTTTAACATAATATAATATGACTTGCTTCTAAAAATAATTGCTACATCTCGACCACCATGTTATCCACGTCCATGTGGACATGAATTGGTACTTTGTTTTTGAAACTCTTTTATGATTTACTAGCTGACTCGGCGTTTCAGTATCTGTGATGCAGAGGGAATTCCCCATACTATTGCAATATTTCGTACGGGGAATACCGTACATAACAAACATTAACTAAAGATTGATTATGATTCTTTGTAGTTTGGTTAAATAAAGTGTATGGTAAAGAGTATTTTACTCAAAAATCAATACAATTGTTATTTCTATCAATACGTTTTCAACTTTTACTGCAAATAATAGACCTTAAACATTGTCAATGGGTCACGAGAGAATGGCTTGTATGATATTTCTGGCCTTTGAAAAAAAAAGGCAGTTGATCTGAACGAACTTCTTCGCATTTTTAATAATATGGCGAATCGTAGAATTTAGCTGTTTTAAATATTTTTTATTATTATATTATTTATTATAATAAGTTTGCAAAAACAAAATGACCTAAATAGTATTTTTGGTCGTATCTATTTGCTCGTATCACCCCACTTAACAATAACTCCTCTATGATAATCTAATACCTCACTCTCACTCAGACGTAGATCTCTACACCCAAATCTGGAAGTTCAACCATCTTGTTCGCTTGTTCTTCATCATTGATGATTTAATAGTTCTTAGAGCCATGTTCATGCTCTGTCACAGAAATTATTTGTCTACGAATAGCTATTGAATGTATATCATTGGACTAGAGATCAATGTTATACATGGCGATTGATTAAGGGGGCCTGTGCTCCGAGGGCAGATCAATTATAATATTTTTTTTAACTTCCGCCCTACCTGTAACCAATGCTGCCCTAACTCAAATTCGACTCTAGCTCTTACTCCTGCTTAACTCCTGCGTACCACCCAAAAGTAATAATTTGCTTTAAAATAATATTGTGACTATATCCTAATCCTATCTTGTAAGTTGGGTCAAACTGCACACGGTGTGCGATTAAAATCGGTTAAGTCGTTATGGAGTCCATTTCGGACAAACAACGTAACGTTTAATTTATGTACAATAAGATGAAACTATCCACGTCCACATGGAAGTTTGTTGGATAGTTTGTTTTTAAATTATTTGAGTCCTGTAACTGACACCCCTAGATTTTAGCAGCTGCGATATTTGCCATCAAATGTGAGCCCAATAATATCAACTCCAGCATTATGACTAGGGTTGCAACGATATATCGATAATATCGATATCGGAAATTCCAAAATATCGATATTTCGTAGACTAAATTTGAACACAATAATATCAATTAATTTACCTGCTATGACTATCTAAATTGAATAATATCGAAATAACTTTTGCTTTGAAATCGCAAGAGCTTATTGATGTATTAAAAAAATCTTGAACCCCAAGAAATATACTAAACTGGTGTGGATTCTGGTATGATTCTCCAATCTAAAATAATTTGACAATAGTGTATCCTTGTCATTCTTTATACAGAATGAAAAGGAGAGACTGATGTTAAATTTAGTTTTAATTTTGTATATTCTTGCCAGATTTTTTAAGCTCGCCAAGTCAAGAAAGTAAGATAGGTATAGTAATTTTGGAAGCTTTGGGCTTACCCTATTCTGAAGCCATTAGCACGCTCCTGATGTGTGGGAGACTAAGCAATTTGCGTATTTGATGTGCGCTAAAAAACCGACATAGCTTGGAAAAGCACGAATGTAGTGAAAACTTAGCGAAGGCATTCGCAAATGTCGTCTCACATATGCGGGTTGGCGCATTCGTGCTAACGAATGTGAGTGATCTGATCAGGATAATAATTTTATTTTTTTGGTTTCCTGTCGTGGCTGAAACATAAACCGTGCGAGCCAATAAAAAAAAAATCCTGCATGGCGCGATTTCATCAAGCGTGTTTAACGAAAAAGCTGGCTCAATGTATTTTCCGAGAAACTCGCCAACAAACATATGAATGTGTCACACTCACCCCGTATTCTAATGTCAATAAAAAATAAAAAGGAAAAAATATCGATATATCGATAATATCGAGTTAAAATGGTCGATATATCGGATATCGATATTTTCCTGACTTCGATATAAATATCGATATTTCAAAAGACTGCATCCCTAATTATGACACTTCTGTGTGCAAATTTTAATTCAATTTGCTCTTTGTTCCGCTTTCAGGCCATTTTTAAAATAATACCCCAGACAGGATTATCCAGTTCCCGGTGTTGGAGACAAGCTTAGACATACAATTGTGTAGCAATTTCGTTTCTATTTCCTAAACTTTTATCTTACAAGACCTAGGTAGAGATTCTCACCCTGACCAAATTATCTGCTACCGTGGAGCCATAAAATGTAACCTTATTTTTTTTCAAGAGTATAAAATGCTTGACTTTAAAGTCTGGCTGACATTGACTGTTGCTATACCAGTACCACAGGTAATTTTTCAAAACTTGGTTTAGTCCAGTCAAATTACGGAAAAAAAAGGGCTAAAAAAACATGAGCGAGCACAGTTTGGGGATTTTGAGGATCGATAGGGGGGTGCATCCTGAGCTTAAGTTCCAATTTGAGGGGCTGTACTGAGGTCAGCTCAAGGTCATTTCGATACAAACGCGTTTAATTCGATATCTCGAGAAATATCAGTGTTAACCAAAAAATTATAGAGACCTTTTTTCTATAAATAAAATTTATTAACTTTTTTATTTAAAACTTTTTTTTGTAACATCAATATTTTTTAAGTTATTACTCCCGCAAGGCAAAAATTTCATTTTTTCCCCTATTTTTCGTTGTTTTCTCCCCAAACATTCAATTTTATTGAATTTTACCGATCATCAACGTGTATATCTTTTAATTATGCACAATTTTGTTCTTAAACTTTTTTCTGTAACTTCAATACCTTCGGAGTTATTCGACCTCGGGTGCTTAATTTTCCGAATTTTATAACCTATTTTTTGTATCAATAAATGTGTGAAACAGTTTTAATTGTTAATTTACTTGTTACCCAAACAAACCCATAAATTTACCCAAATTAAATACCCAATTTTTAAATAGTTTAATCGATTTACCCTTTTATATTGCGACAGTGGCGTGGATTTCGCTCGGTAAAATAATATATAACTCCGAAGGTATTGAAGTTACAGAAAAAAGTTTAAGAACAAAATTGTGCATAATTAAAAGATATACACGTTGATGATTGGTAAAATTCAATAAAATTGAATGTTTGGGGAGAAAACGACGAAAAATAGGGGAAAAAATGAAATTTTTGCCTTGCGGGAGTAATAACTTAAAAAATATTGATGTTACAAAAAAAAGTTTTAAATAAAAAAGTTAATAAATTTTATTTAGAAGAAAAAAGGTCTCTATAATTTTTTGGCTAACACTGATATTTCTCGAGATATCGAATTAAACGCGTTTGCATCGAAATGACCTTGAGCTGACCTCAGTACAGCCCCTCAAATTGGAACTTAAGCTCAGGATGCACCCCCCTAACGATCCTCAAAATCCCCAAACTGTGTTCGCTCATGTTTATTTGATTCCGTAATTTGACTGGACTAGTTTTGGATTAAATTTTACGAATAATCGAACTAAAATACTGGACTAATAAAACTAAAAAACAACCTCCCAAATAAAACAAAAAAATGGGTGCGTGTACTTATGTAGGCGCGTGAGAAGTTATCCTTCTTTCGCATCGTTTAAAATTAGTTTTTAATTGCATGCAAATAATTAATTACAATAAATTAATAAAAAGTCTGGAAAAGGACACAGTCAATAAAGTTCAGTTTTAATTTAAAAAAATAAAGAAATAATCAAAATATTCAATTAAAATCGCTACTGAATATAATTTATTAGAACATATGTGATTTGCACTTGTATGAAACTCAAACACGTATTCCGAATATACAAACTAGAAACATGTGGATAAATATTATAAATATGAATACCTATAACTGTTACTTTATTACAAAAAATAAAGATGTGGTTTTTGGTTCTACTACACCAATGGTCAAGAGATGGCGCTGTAGTCTCCTGAATCGCGCTTTGGTTCCGTTGTTCCAGATTAATAAATACTTTTGATATTATAAATATGAATACCTATAACTGTTACTTTATTACAAAAAATAAAGATGTGGTTTTTGGTTCTACTACACCAATGGTCAAGAGATGGCGCTGTAGTCTCCTGAATCGCGCTTTGGTTCCGTTGTTCCAGATTAATAAATACTTTTGATAGGCCTTCACAATGCAGTCGTTAGCACCCACAAAATAGAGATTCTATTTCTATGTTGTTGGTAGATTTTCTTAATGTGCGGTAAACACAAAAGTAAAAGCGACCAACTTCATGCTGTTAAAATTTTGTGTTACAGTGATGCGCGCGCATCTTAAAATTTCACTCTCATCATTTTTTCATAACGCGCCTAAAGAAGTATAACTTCAAAAACACCTAAACAAATTGTAAAAGCAATGAATTTCATTATATAGTTACCTACATAATAAAGTTATACTTTTTCTTCAGGCGCGGCGCATTTGTACTGTAAATAAAATACCTACTTTTTATTGAAATAAGTTATAATAATTCATCGAACATAGTCGACGACGTTTAACTATAAAACATCATGGGGTTTTCAGGTCCGTGGGGGTGGGGGGGGCTTCAATTTAAGATTACGCCATATCCATATGCTATTCATTACCAAATTGACTAGTGGTCCCGTCATAATGATGGTATAAAATAGTAGAAATTCTGTAGTTAATTCTATTCTTAATTCGAAAATACCAGGCGGAGTCCCGTATTTTTTTGTCGTTAATTAGTTTTTCGGAGGGGCAAGTATCTAACGATTTTAATCTTTTGTTTATTAGGTTTTCACGCACATCACTCATTAAATAAAACTAGTTTTTACGGGTTAATGCACGAAACTTTCTTAATTTATTGACGTTTCGTAGCCTTTACAGGCTTCGTCGTCAGAATAAAACTTTTATTTAATTTGTCGAGCTACCTTCGAAAGACTTTTATTGAGCGTTTGTAAAGGCTACGAAACGTCAATAAATATATAAAGTTTTGTGCATTAACCCGTAAAAACTAGATTTTAATCTTTGTTTAAAATAAGCATGCTCAATGGCAAATGTATGGGTTCTACAAATTTTCAGCCTGTTACCTCATATTCCGGATATTACATATTTTTGACTGTACTATTTTTACACCATTATTATTATAGCTTTTTGTGTGCACAAAATGTGTGCCGAGAGCCCTGCACAAATGTAAATTCATTGATATCATATTGTTTTGGACTCCATTATCTGAGCCTTTGGAATTTAGAAATACAATGATCATTTGAAAATCGTCAACAACAAACACGAAATATAAAAATGTAGCGACATCTATCGCGTAGTAGCAAGATACCTGTGTCCATGCTTCTGTCTGCTTATTTGATGCTTTGCTTTTCCATTGTTCTTTAAGTATATAAACTTTGTCCTACTACTCCGTAGATGGCGGCACACGATATAAACTTAATGGTCTAGAAATTATGCTATAGAAATACGACGATAATATTGATAATAAACTGCGGATAAAAAAAATTGTGTGCACGGACCACACATCTGAAGTAAAACTTCTTTTCTTAATTAACCTAACAATACGGGTTGCGTATGTGAGGAGCTCGATGGCGCAGGTGGTTAGCGCGTTCGGCTGCGATCATTGTAGTTAAGCAATTTTCGCAGTGGTCGGTCATTGGATGGGTGACCAAAAAATTCTATCTCGAATTCCTCCGTGCTTCGGAAGGCACGTTAAGCCGTTGGTCCCGGTTGCACCTGCAGTCGTTAGCACCCGCCAATCCGCACTGGGCCCGCGTGGTGGGTCATGGCCCAATCTCCCTATTCCATCCATAGGGAAGGCCTGTGCCCCAGCAGTGGGGAAATTAAGAGGCTGATGATGATATATGTGTATATTGTCGCGTGTGTAGTCGTAGCGCTTCAGCCTTCGCAGCACGCATCCCACACACACATATATATAAATAAATAATAATATGTATATACCTATATAGTCGTGTGACGCTCGTGACGCAATTTCGTTTCATCTTTTCCATAGATTTTTTCCATTGACATCCCGTCCAAAAAGAAGTTTTACTCCATAAATCAATGATAACATGACAGTATATAAATATATTTTCAAAATTTCAAATCTTCAAATACGTTAGAGTATTTGGTTGGTCAAGCAGCTGCCAGACCCCATAGTTATCCTATCTAACAAATACAGTTTCTACGGTTACTTAGAGATAAATAAAAACCACAAAATAATATAAACATCTTTTTTTTTATTCCAACTTATAACCATACATAATATACACAGTACAAAAAAAACTTGCTTTCGTCTAATACAGCGATAAGGACAAAATGAAATTGTCACATACTTTGTTTAACTATCATTTTGTAACATACTAAACAAATTGAGAAATCTAATTATAGGAGAAACTTATCTACACGCCGTGTTTTAATGTACAATGCTTCGAGCGAATACGTTTTACTTCAATACAATAACTTAAAAGTATACACTTCTTAATATGTACTCGATGGAATTCGAATTAAAAATTTACACAATACATACATAACACTATAACTACAATTAAGCAAAGAAGAGTTTATTTGTATTTCAATTAAGGAACATAAAACATATCCACATCTCAACGATATCACCATAATCAGACTAATTTACATTGCACATACTCCGATTGCGACCATCGGACTAAATCACATTTCGAGTACATTTACACAACTGGTACACAATCCACTCGGACGCTTATAAATGGCATCTTATACACGAAACGGCGCACAGCGCGTATCATACTCGCTCCCAATCTTACGTTAAATGCGGAACTTAGCGATTAATGTTACGTCGAAATTGAGATCAAATGCGGGAGGCCTGCTCTGCTCTATTTGTTGGCTTCGGCGAAGGCTTCCTCTAAGCAGCAGAGTGAGTCTTTGACCGCGTGGTACACGATGTTCTTTATCTGCAGCTTGTCCTCCTTGTTGGAGTGCTGGCGCGACAGACGGCGGAACTGCTGCGCGAGTTCGAAGCACCGCGACACGTTTTCGGGTGATACGAAGTCTTCGGCGACTTTGATGCAATCCAGCAGATTCCTGACTTGGTGAGGGGCTCCAGCGGGCACGAACACTGCGTCCCCGGGGCATTGCAGAATAGCGTATCCCTCTACACCGTACTCGCGATACAAACGTTCGCGCAGCGTCGCGTCCAGGTACCAGGTTTGGTCGTGGACGGGGTCGTGCTGGGGCCGCGGTCTGGCGCCTCGCTCCAACTCCGCGCGGACTAGGAAATCGCGGATCTTGTCTGCGTCTTTGGCGGCGTAAATATGCCAGAGAGCCGCCGGTGGTTTGACGCGCGCTCTCCGCCGGGACAGGACGTCCACGCCGGCTTCTTCGGCCGCCCTCGCCGCTTCTCGGGCGCGCTCGGGAGCGTCGGCCGGGGCGCTGGCGTGCACCATCACGTTGACGGCGTCGCTGACGTCGAGGTGAAGGTTCGTCGTTCCGCCGGCGCCTCCGTACGCAGTGTACATTTTCGGACCCAAGTCCGGTCGCACGAAACATTCGGGCAGACGCGCGGCCAAGTTCAGCTTCCCGTTGCGCGATGTGTACTCGCTGAGCGGCAGAGCGCGCATGAGATCGTCAAATCGGGTCGGCAGAAGTTCTGCGAAGTCTTCGCCCGGCGGCCAGTCTTTCAGTTTGAGCACCATCGGGGCTCCCCGCTCGTCCCGGAGCCGCTTGGCGGCTAACTCGAAGCCATCCCAAAACTTCCGGGCGGGCTGATTGGGCACCACTAAGCCTGAGGCGCAGTTGACTAAGTCAACTCTCGTGTCACCGAAATCCCGAGAGAAACTCTCAGGTGTCCACAAGTCCTTGTCGAGAACATTCGAAACATCCGAGACTAGAACTGGTTGGCCGCGTTTCCATTGATCCTGTAGACAAAGAAGAAAATCGTTAAATTGGCTGTTTATTTCATTATTGAGGAGCTCGACGGTGCAATTGGTATAAGCGCGTTCAGCTGCGATCGTTAAAGTGAAGCACCTATCGCAGTGGTCGGTCATTGGATGGGTGACAAAAATTTTATTATCTAAAGTACGAAAGCACGTTAAGCCGTTGGTCTAGTCTGCAACTGCAATCGTTACCCAATCCGCACTAGGCCCGCATTGTGGGTCATGGCCTAAGATTCCTATGCCATCCCAAGGAAAGGCCTGTACCCCAGCAGTGGTGACATTAATAGGTTGATGATGATGATTACATAATTATAATTATTACCAAACTTGTCTGTTTTCAAACATATTTCAGTAAACGTTATTTAATAAGGTGCGACAATTAGATATATTTACCTGGAAGGGCTTGTAATTGCCAGGATGTACTGGGTCTGTCAGATGCAACAATTTGCCGTCACAAAGCCACGCGTGCGGCACGTCGGGATACAAAAGCTTCGACTCCGTCAGCGTCATGATCCGAACGGGCAGTTCCTCGCGGCCTGTCCTCCTGTCGTACCGCTTTACCACGTTGGACAATGCGAACGGCTTTTCTTCGCCGTCCTCGTCTTTCTTTTCTTCAACGACGCTCGAGATGACGTCGTCCAAAATATCTCCTTTGTTCTTCTTCTGTTTCTTCTTGGGCTGAGTCTCGCCGCCTTCGGGAGCGGGCCGTATCAACAACTCCCGCAATGTCGAGAAGTTCCCGTCCTCCTCGGAGTCTGAGGAACTGGAGTCGGATTTCTCTTCCTTCGTCTCAGATTTGACTGTGATGTCTGAGAGCCAGCTGACTACGTTGTTGCCGGTCTTTCCGTTCTCAGATTTCACTGGGGATGAGCCGTTTGTTGAGACATTCTCCTCTTTGACATCCTCCTTCTTGATATTCTGTAACAAAGATATTTCTTTTGTTAAAAGTTTATCCAGTTATTGTTACCGAACCAACCCATTAATATATTATAAGTAACTAACTTTCCTCTGTCTGTACGCTGTCAAGCTAAAGCTACTGTACCAATTTGGATTAATTTTGGTTAATAGAGAGAACGAAATGTTATTTTTGTCGCGTGAAAAAATTTTAGAGGATGAAATAGGTAAAAATTTTAAATCAATTATTCCGCGCAGATCAAATTGGGGACAACAAATGAAATCAATTATACAATAAAACGCAATTTAAAAAGTCGACAAAATCCCTCCGCTATCCACTGCGGGCGAATGCACTGTCCATTATGCTACCGCGGCCCTAACAGCCGTGTCGAATTTTTTCTATGGTCGATGATAAAGAAGTTTGCCGTGGTGTGACGCGGCTGATGCGACAATAGTCAGTGTATGAAAATGTATGGCGCCGATTTCGAAGTCTGCGACGGACGCGTGCGGCTTACGAAAGCAATTTACAGTAATTTACACTGACTAATCGCATCACGCATTGAGCGCGGCTGCGATCGGCCACGACGCACGGAAGTCTACCTTAAGTGATGTTTGTTTATATAAGACTTTACTAGCGGTGCTGACCTTGTTAAGCACGCGGTGCAGCAGCCGGCGCGCCTGCTTCTTGTGGTGTGGGGAGGGCGCTGGATGCAGGCCGCAGCCGCACGCGATCGATTGAGCGGAGCTGCGATCGGCCGCGACGCACGGAAGTCTACCTTTAGTGACGTTTTTTTATATAAGACTTTACAAGCTGTGCTGGCCTTGTTAAGCATGCGGTGCAGCAGCCGACGCGCCTGCTGCTTGTGGTGCGGGGAGGGCGCCGGATGCAAGCCGCAGCCGCACGCAATCGATTGAGCGTGGCTGCGATCGGCCGCGACGCACGGAAGTCTACCTTCAGTGGCGTTTGTTTATATAAGACTTTACAAGCGGTGCTGACCTTATTAAGCACGCGGTGCAGCAGCCGACGCGCCTGCTGCTTGTGGTGCGTGGAGAGCGCTGGATGCAGGCCGCAGTCGCACGCGATCGATTGAGCGGGGCTGCGATCGGCCGCGACGGACGGAAGTCTATCTTTAGTCACGTTTGTTTATATAAGACTTTACAAGCGCTGCTGACCTTGTTAAGCACGCGGTGCAGCAGCCGACGCGCCTGCTGCTTGTGGTGCGGGGAGGGCGCCGGATGCAGGCCGCAGCCGCACGCGGGCAGCGACCAGGCGGCGCGCGCGGCGTGGCAGCGAGCCGCCGCCTCGTTGAGCGCGCCGCCCGCCGCTATTTGCGTCAGCAGCAAGCGCCGTGCCGGGTGAGCACCTCCCGACGTGCAAGTTAACCAACTGCGCCAAAGATAACAGATACGTTATACCCAGTGTCCTATTAGACCATTTGTTTCCTGACCCACCATAATACTATGTATATTTTCTAAAGCCGGGTACTCATTAGCGAGCTGTAACCGTAACATGCGTGATACAGTATGAGGTTCTAGAGTGAACGCTTGTAGCTCAGTTGTAAACGTCGGCTCGCTGCAAACCGCACGCGTACCGCTCGCAGCAGGTCAGCGAACCACGTACGTACACACTATGCTTTTTGGTTACAGTGCATGCAACCGGTTACGGTTACAGCTCGCTAATGAGTACCCGGCTTTTAAAGCTGATCCAAGCAACATAAACTTATGCAGTACAAACTGTTGCACAAATAAAAGTCTGTCCCCTGCAAAGCACAAACTATGTGTCAACTTTGTCCACACGACACAAATCAATCACAAACAAACTTACTGCTTACCTTGTTTGTGCAGTGATTTGTGATGTGTGGACAATGGAAAATTAGGTGATCGTACAGATTTTTGTATGTGTAACAATTTCCACAGTAGAAGTTGTTTCAGATAGTATGATTCAAACTTTATGGCGGATGTAAAGATAGCGGCGAGCAGAATAAAGGTACAAGTCTGAAATATGGGTAGCGGCTGCGGTCATACGCTGCCTGCAATCGTGGTTGCTATTCCAATCACGGCGGCATGCCGCGACTGCACAATGCGTAGAACCAAATTATTTCGGGAATTTGGATTAGAAGTGTCGCAAAGAATTGGATGACCAGCAACAAAGTTAATTAATTTTTCTTTGCGCCGCGGCTGCAGGCCACAATGTTGCCGCGTTCGAAATAAATTTCATGGACGTTCATAGAAACCAGTGGTGTCGCTTGCAGTTTGCGGTCTGCAGCCCATCTCAGACTTGTACCTTAGGACGCAGTAAACAGCCAAGTAAGCATAGAAATATAGAGAATTAGTGGCCCGCCCTCGCTTCGCTTCGGTGTAGAGCTGTACCCTTGACACGAACCAATATCGAATTCGTAACGTTTGCATGTCCGAAATATCATTGTCAGATGAACTGAATTTTAGAACTCGTTACGTACTTTGTGGCGCTGCTGTTCAAGTTTCCATATAAAATTTGACATTGACATTTGGCACTCGCAAACTATTCGAATTCGATAATGGTCCGTACTAGGGGTACTGTAGAGTAGACTATAGTTTTTGTTCAAAGGCTTGTATTATACACAATGACTTTCTTCGTAATAATTATGAACCTCACTGGTGCAATAGCGATTACTAACTCTGACATGGCTTTAATTTGTTCCTGGAGTAGATCATTCGGCCTTACTGTGAACCCCACAAAGACGCAAGCTATCATAATTGGCAGATTACTTCATTTCAAGGATCGATTTTGGACATTTATCTCCTATGACCTTTGATGGAACTATTTTTCCTTTATCAAGCACTGTCAAAAACCTTGGGTTTTGATCTGTCTTTCTCTGTGAGGCCTCAAGTGGAGGTTGTCAGGCAGATTTTTTTTGCTGCATACAGTTCAATCAACCGCTTACGCAACTTTTTGCGCACCAGTACCAAAATCACCATGGCGCAGACTCTTTTACTGTCTATCCTTGACTATGCTGATATGTTACACCGACCTCTTCGAGGAACTCCAAAATAAACTGGCACGTCTGCAGAATTTATGAATTAGATTTAATTTTAACCTCCGTAAGTATGACCATGTCTCACACTTCCGTTCAAACTTAATTGGCCCCTTAATCGCCGGCGCAAAGACTTACACACCCTTACACTAGTTTATTCCATACTTTTCCTACCTCCTTCTACACATTACTTAAAGGAATGCTTCTCGTTTCTTTTATCTACTACACAACGCACTCTGGGCTCTTCTTCTAAAGAAGAGCCCTCAAAATCGAAACTAGTCCAGAATGTGAAATTTTGTTATGTGATGTCCCTAATGCTATATTTAAACAATTAATACCGAAAACGCCGATTTATAATGTACTTTCTAAGTTATGGCGAACACAAACAAATTATTTTTTCCTTTCGTTGTTTGTTGCGATCTCGTATACATCAGACGCGATTTTTCGCCGTTTTCTCGCAATATTATAATATAGTGTCCAATGTTGTATAGTCCGACTCGCATTTTGCCATTTTTTTCTTAATTAAAGAGTTTATACCAACATGTTGTGAAGCTTGAATTGAGGATAGCATCACAGAATAGCTTGACAGTGGCAAATATATGCTTTATAATGCTTTGCTATACCTCTACAACCCCGAAAATAATATGGCATGAAATTAAATTAAACCATTGTTAAATAATAAAAAAATAGATAAATCGAGAATACACATATTCTAACATTATCTTTTAAACAAATACATAGAAATTAACAAAGGAAAACTCACCCAAAAGAGTCTCTTTCGCCGTTGGTGCTAGCATTCGACGTATTATTTGATTCATTTGTATTACTACTAGACTCACTACCCGATGTCCTTGACTGCGAACAAAAAATAGCATGTTAGTCATTTGCTGCCATATACAGCAATAAAACATACCACACAGAAAAAAAGCACTACTTTAAATTCAAAAGGAGTTTTTTCATTTAAATAATATTCCTATTTGATTCAATATCAAAGTCATGATTATGTTTAAAACTAGATTCGACATTGAGTTATCTCGTTTTGAGCTTTATGATCCAGTATACTAAAACTTACAATCAACTATAAGGAAAACTACTAAACTTTTAGTTATAAGCACAAAGGTTTCGAAACACAAAATTTAAATTTTTATTGTAAGTGAGTCAATGAGGAAAGCTTTGGTTGGCGTGCTCAATCCTAATTATCTCATTATTTCTAATTTAGGAAATCTCTACTACATCTGCTGTCGTTAACACGTAACAACTACTTGAGTTTCTCTATCTAATCAATGGAAGACATGTTTTCTAACAGTATAAAAAGTTACAGTATTAGGCTGAAGGTAAAATACTGGTTAAAAATAGTAATTTTAATGAGAAAAGTTACCTTATAACAATCTAAGCATACGACGAAGCCGCATTTGCCGCATGTCCAGTGGAAATTAAATAATGTTGTCTCGCACACATCACACATCTCTCTTACACCTTGAACTACTCTTTTCCATGCTATCGTCTTATCTGTGAAAGAAAACAAAAAATTATATAACTTATTTCACCCTAGCATCTGATCATATAATTGCCTACTTTCATGATCTCATAAAATCTCAATATCAATTTTAAAAAACTTACCGTCGTTGAGGTGGTGTGATTCCGCCTCTTTTTCTTGTTGTAACAGTTCACAGAACTGGTCTCCAATCTCCCTCAATAGGAAGCAACTCATTTCTATATCTAATTCCGCCGCTCCGGCAGACGATGACAGCCATAATTTTTTATCATCCTGCAAAGAAAATTAGGGAATTTAAAATAAATTCAACGAATGGAAATTTTAAATAAAATCACTCAGTTTAAAAATATATTTACCTCGTCAGCATCTTTGTAAGGGTCTGAAAAGCCGGCTATGGCTAGTTGCCTATTCTTGTTGACGTACTTCAGTCTTCGGAAAGCGTAAAAGCGGCAGAAGATATTCGGCATGTCTTTGTCCCGCTGCGCCGGTGACCACCGGCACTCACGGCACTTGGCGAGTCTGGGAGCGACCTCGAAGCAAGGCCCGTTCTGGAGAAAGGACTCGTTGTTCGCCCGCGCCTGCGCGTTTGTGGGAGTCCTCCGCGGCGGGTCTTCTTTCCGCCGACCTCCGCGGCCTCCGCCGCCGCCCCGGGACCTTCGCCCTCTAGCACGTCCTCCGCCTCCGCGCTTGCTAGATGTACTCCCGCTTCCGCTTCCACTAGCACCGGAATCGGAATCTTTGTCGTCGCTCTCCTTGTCGCTCTCACTGCCGCTTTCGGACGCCTTCTTCTTTTTCGGCTCATCGCCGGCTTTTCTCGCTACGACGCCTTTTTTTCGTTTCGCCTTGGGAGGTTTCCGCTTAGGAGGCGCCGCAGACTCCCTGTCTGAACTAGAGCTGTCTTCTTCGGCGTCATCGACGCGTCCGTTCATATCTTTAGGTTTCCGCGGCTTCGACGTCTTTCGAGCGCCGCGCTGAATCGATTTCGCGGCAACCGGCACCACAATATTTGAACTAGAATCGTCCGGCTCGGAGACTCGTGTGATCGTCATAGGTAGCGTTATACAGGTGCCGCCACCACCTGAGCAGTCGCCCTCGCCGATCGGGGCGGTTTCGTGTCGTTGTAGCCAAGCCTTTTTACCTAAATGTCGGACGGGTGCTGAACCGTCTCGCGGTGAGGACGCCGACTTGGCTGGAGTATCGCCATCAGCGACCGGCGTGACGGGCGGCGTCGCGGGGGGAGCCGGCGGCGTCGGCACGGGCGGAGGGGCGGCGGCCGTCGGCGGAGAGGCGGCGAGTGGTGGAACAGGCGTCGCTGGCGCTGGACTCGCCGCCGGCGTCATCTGAGGCACAGGCGACGCTCCGGCGGCCCGCTCTGGCGTCTCGACACTACCGTCCGCTGATGGAACTCTCACGTCACAAGGCGGACCCGGCGCTTGCGGAGCAGGTTCCGACCCGTGAGGTGTTCTGCCGACACTGGCGGCGGCCGCTATCAAAGGTTCCGTCGTTGGCACTTCCTCGAGTCGTCGCCGTTTCGCATCCGCCTCCGCGGTATCGAAGGGGCACCGTCTTCGCGGCGATAACCTGTCGGGATCGTCGCGAGCTACTCCTAGATCGAGGGGCTGCGTCTGACAAGGTGACGAGACATTGGTGTCACCGTGAGCTCGTGGCGGCGGACGTGGTTCCGGCGTCCGACAGTGCGTGGCCACAGGCGGCGGCCTCGTACGCGGCGCGGGAGAATAAGCGGACGGCGGAGGGTACGGCACTGGAGGAGGTTCAGCTTTCGTCATTGGCATTGGAGGTTCAACTGCGACAGCATAGTGCGCCGGGCTCGGTGAATTACTAGGCTTGCCATATATGTGTGGCGGCGCTGGACTGGATACTTTTGGCTTAGCCGGAGGAGCCGCTTGATAGTATGCAGGCGAACGCTGCGGCGGGGGTTGGTAGAGCGGCCGTCGATTGTTTTTATCCTGTGCGGGTAGCGCTGCGTGTGGTGATGTTTGCAAAGCTGGATGAGGATGTTGTGCGGGAGCATGCGGTGAGAGCCCCGTCCTGTACGGCCGTGAAGGAAGGTAATGCGGTGACGGTTCACTTCGAGGCTTGCTTGGGTACGGGTGCTTTTGTTCGAGGTGGATCTGTTTGGCGTCGTGTTTGACTATCACAGAATTCTTCTCAGGCACTAACGGCGGAGGTGCCGGTAAATGCTGATCTTTTAACTTATCATAGGGTCTATAAGGATAGTTGTAGGGTGCGAAGTTGGGTTCGCCTTTGGGAAGAGAGGGATGGGGAGGTTTCTCTTGTTTCGAGATTGAGAGCCTGGCGTGGTAGTCGGCGGGGGAAGGGGCGGGGCCGCGGGGCGAGGGGTGCGAGGGATGGGAGGGGTGCGCGGGGGGAGAGTAGTAGGCGCGATCTTGCGGCGTCGCTCGCACCCTGTCGTGGTCTGGCCCCGCTGCCCCCCTGCTTGGTGCCAAACTGTTGAGTATTGACCACGACATGTTCCTGTCCCGCTGTATAAAGAGAAGAATAGTCTTAGAATTCAGCCTGATCATTACGTAAAATCCAACATATGCTTTACTATCCACGAACTTTTTATTTAATAAAAAAAAGGTTTTTCAATTGTAAAACGACCACTAAAAAATGGACGGTCCCCTTGACAGTAAGTGGCTATCATAGCCTATAGTCGTTTGCAATACCAGAGTGTCATTCACGTATTGTCCGCCACCCTAGATAGCTTTGGAAACCTTACTCTGTACAGAAACGTAACATTAAAGAATAGTTTTACTTGGCTACAGTTCAGTACGAGTACGTACGTGTACGTGTTCTCTCTTATTTAAGTCTTCTCTATGATAAAATAAATGACTTTCGAAATTTTTAAGCTCTTTAACGTATGCAATATTACTAATGATTAAATAATCAATTTGTGATTTATTAAATTACTTTTATATTTTCTAAAATAAAAATTCAAATATTTACCTTCTGATTAGCTAGCCTGAAGGACTCTTCGAAATGCCTGGTGACTAGTTTGGAGGCGGCATTTTCTTGGTCTCTTCTCTCCTTCTCTTCCCTCTCTTGTTTCTCCCTTTCTCGTTCTTTTTCCCGTTCCCTTTCTCTTTCCTGCTCTATCCGTTCTCTCTCTTTTCTTTCTTTGTGCTCCCTCTGCTCCTGGTCTCTTCTTTCTCTGTAAATAAAGAAAATGGATTAGGTATCAATTTCATATTATTAAAGTCAGAATTAAAATAATTCATATTAGAACATTTGTTGTCACTGTGTTTCCAGATAATATTAAATTGAAGCTAGTTCGTAAGTTCGATATGTAAATAAATGGCAAATATAAATGACCGTTTACAGTGGACTTTAAAGACAGTCTAATAAATTTGCGATAAGTGGGTCAAGGTCAAATATTTTTTAAAGCATATATTCTGTATCAACTCAATCTTATCACACATTTAATTAGATGTGAACAATGAACATAACTTTCTATAATTAACTGTATAAGTTGTAACGCGTTTTATTGACTAACATGAACACAAAGTGCAACAACCACAAACTATATTCAGCAAGAACTTGTTACATAAAGAAATAATATTATAAAATCCAAAGGCCACACTTCTATCTAATAATATACAGAAAGTGTTCGTTATAATAACTGTAGTAATAAATTTATCCAAACCAAAAAAATACCGACCCAACCATCTTTGTTATATCTCTGAATTTCGTCAAGAATATTAATAATATTGAATCAGGTATTTCGAAATAAACAAAGCAGAACAGTTTAATCTCCGAAAGTTTAATATTTAGTGATGATAACTTTCACCTCTCATAAAATAAAGATAAATCTAAAGACACATAATAATTTTAATCGATTTGACAACTTAATGTCATGTCCACAATTTTTTTATACTCTGTTTTATGATTATCTTTGAATAGATCTGAGGATTAGATACTATAGACACTAGATACTGGTAAAATTACACGGTCGACTGTGTAAATCTCCGCCTTATTCCATAACGCGGAATATAATTAGTCATGGTTTAAACCTAATGCTGTCTCTGTCTTCTTTTTAGAAAACAAAAGTAATATCAGTTTTAAACCAGATTAACTTTAGTCAAAGTTGTAATAAGGCGGTGAGAGTTTATTTGGCATGCGGCTGGTCAGTGCAGCCGAAATAGGAAAATATCCATCCATCACGTAAATGCGCCATCACAACGTCGCTAAAAGCCTTGATAGTCAAGAAACTACCCCTTTAAATGTCTATGACGAAAAATAAAAGTTTAACTTTAATTTGTTGTGTTATTTGTAACTGATGCCAGTGGGCAATATTCTAATGGACATTCGTTAAAAGATACATAAGCGCTAACAGTAAACTAACAGATGTACTCCGAGATTAAAAGTTTATTTTTATATTCAATTTCTTCATTGCAGTCTCATCATTAAATAAAATTAAAGAAATTTTAAATAAAATTGTATTTCTAACATACTTTGAATCTACATCGGACTTTTAATATATAATTATTGCTCATATAAGTAACGTGTATTCCATAAACGTAGTCTATGATTTTACTTAACATTAATTATGTAAAAATTTCTGTATTTTTCATTTAATAATTCATTCAATCGCTCTGATCATCACAGTATCATATCACGACGATCTATATTTTAACTGTACTACGAATCATCTGCTTTAAAAAATTGGTTAGAATTTAAAACTTTTAATAACAGTTTTTGAAAATAATGGCATATTCAATTGAATATGACAATAATAAATATTTGCACATAATAAAAAAGTAAATTATCCGCATGTAGGTAAATCTACATCGTATGCATAACCCATATAGAAAGCCACTAAAACCTTGCGCTTTGGCAAGGTCTCGGTTCAAGGATCATTGCCACATGGTAAAAAGGTCATCTGTGACAACCTAAACTACACAAAAAAAAGGCATTGTTAAAGTTTTACAGTGTTTCGGTGATTTAACTAACATTAAGGAAACAGTAGTAACGTTTTTATTAAAATAGCATGACATATTATGTTGAATTCCTATTAAGGAATGAGACAACGAATATAAGCAGTACATTTTCATCGAAACAGTAAAATATTCTTTCAGAAAAATATTGAAACGTTCTCCAAGAAAAAATATTTGATACCATTACAAGACACAGTTAAATACAATTTTTAAAAATATAACGAATAAAATGTCCTCTTTTTCAGTTTTTTCTTTTCTTTAATGGAGAATCACATACCCAACATTTTCCTGGATACAGTTATGAATTTCGATTTATCCTACTTTAGCATTCCAAGAAAACCATAACCATGATATATTAAATAGAATCATTCATTTAATTCAAAGTTATAACGAGCCACGGTGTAGTGTGCGCGGAATACAAAATTAGATGAATTAAAGTTAAAACGTAATCTTTATCAACTAAAAGTTTTTATATCCCGATTTTTAACATTCTAAACATTGATGAACAGACCACAGATATTGAACAGACACTAAAAGAAAGTGTAAATAAAATTAACATCAATAACCATTCAATAAAACTGACCTTAAGTGAAAATTATTGGGGTACCTCCCCATGTTTGGGAAGGCCTGTTCCAAGCAGTTGGTCGAATTAAAGCTGATGAAGAAGAAGAACACATTTATTACCATAGTCTATGTTAAATACTGACGTATGCTAAATGGGGTTCAGTCATATCTCGATAACGGGGTTTAAAATCTTTACATTCCTTTGTTACCATAAAAAACTAAGAAAATCGACAGACCAAGGGCCAACTAATATTGATAAATACCAGCACGTACGTAATCTTTACTTTCCGGACAATAATAAATATCCTACGGAAAACAATAGAATTCCGTAGTAGTAATAATTGGCCACGTAATTAATTAGTCTTATACGAGTAATAGCAGTTAAGTGGTTATAATTTAAGAATGTAAATGCTTGTTGTACATCCTCGATACTTTATAATGTTCGGAGAAATTATTATTATTACCCTAGAGGTAGCATGTGGTGGGCCATAATTTATTTTTCCTTTGTTTTGAGTTGTACGGTGTCAAGAGGGGTAGTTTTTTTACACAAACACACACTACAGGTGTTGCGTTTCTGTTTGTAAATTATGTTATCTCTAACCTTGTCCTTGAGCTCTCGCTCTGCTGGGTACGGGAAATTCAGTGTGATATCGCTTTGCTGCGAGATTGATTGATCGATTTTTTATGAAAAGGCCCGACAAATGACTCCACCTTAGTTCGTGCTTGGGCCGCTGATGAAACGTAACGTAACGATGGGACCAGACGCGAAGTTAGAGTCAAGTCACACCAGCCATCCTGCAATGTGTTTGTTCACACCTCTTTGAAAGGATCCCAGGTTGTAAGTTTAGTTAGTTACCCACGAATTCGAACAATCTTCAAAGTATTATGTCCCTCTGCTAATCTGGGATTTTGCTATTCCGGGATATCGATTACCTGTCCTTCTGCTGCAGAGGGTTCCAGACAAATAACACTGCTAACATGTTTCTGATAGGAACGAGATTGACACAGGTTTATGGAATAAAGGAATTAGGGCGAGACTGGCAAACCGTTGTTTGATAAGGTACGACAAACTTCTAGCTCAAGCTCAAATGTTCACAAATGTTCCATTTATATAAATGTGTGTATTTGTTTAAACATATTTTGTCTGTGCCCATGACTGTTCCGAATAAACGTTTTTTCATTTCATTTCAAAATTGCAATTATTCGAAAAATATCCAACAACAAAAAATTGCCAGTAACGACCTGTTTTTTTATTGTTTTGTTAATTTTCTCGATACATACTTTATAATAGAACCAATTTGCTAAAATTTATATGGGCTGTAAGACATTTTCAGTAACATAAAAATAATCTGAGATCGATTTACAACCGACAAAGACATTCACTGGCGTACATTACAAAATGCCTATTTATAACGTGGTATAAAAACATGTTTTTACATCTAATTATTTCAATGCTGGATGATTCTCTGTACGATGTTTGGTAGGTATTATTATTATTTTGCTTAATTATCTTCTTTCAGTTGTAAATAACAACTTGGTAAAATTAAGAAATGGTATTTAATAAAACTAGTTTTTACGGGTTAATGCACGAAACTTTATTTATTTATTGACGTTTCATTTCTACATTTCTGACGATGCAGACCTGAAAAGGCTGCGAAACGTCAATAAATAAATAAAGTTTCGTGCATTAACCCGTAAAAACTAGTTTTATTTAATGAGTGATGTGCGTGAAAACCTAAGAAACAAAAATGGTATTTACTTCGTTTTATTACATTTGCCTAGAATATTTTGTCTTTCATATTTTGTATCATAAAAATACAATAACTGTACCTGTGTAAATTATATAAACAGCAGGATATTAAACGAACACCTGGGTTTAATTAATTCAGATAACAAATACACGTTCCGCATTAACAATTTCATATTTGCATAACAAGAATTTAGCATTTTACATAATAATACAAAACATTCAAGATCTATGCATATTTCGTAATTCATATGATCTCTTTTATTTCCTTGGACTTCATTAATTTATTACACTTTTCAGCGGGTCATAATTTTCACATGTTACTTGACGTATCGAATACTTATCCTGCACCAGTGGTCACAAGACTGAGACATTTATGTGTTACAAAAAATAAGCCAATATATTCTTATATAGTAACCAAAATGATATTTTATAAAAAATACAATAAAGTCCTATTCCTATCTCGGCTGCAGGCTGCACTTGCAGCGGCTGCAAGTAGCGGCTAATATGCATTTGTATGAAATACATTCCGTATCCGGCTGAAAGCTGCAAATGCAGGCAGCACGTGCAGCTGCAGCCAAGATCGGTAAAGCAGCTTAAACTATCAGGATCTCAATTTTAAACTTAGTTTTTTTCTATTAAACATTAGTGCCAAAAAATTGCTTTTACTCTAAATCATCTCTAGTTTGGTCATAAAAAGAAATGAATCACATGATGGAATGTCTAGTTTTAAATAAATAATTTTATAATTATCTTTTATCTACATGCTATAAAACCGCTATTAAAGATTCTGAGACTGTTAGCTTATTGCCTACATAAAAAGATCCAATGTCATAATAAAAAAAACACATTAAAACATCCGTTTGAGTGTCAGAATGATTTTTCCATGAAATTCCTAATAACACTCCTTCTTATTTTAAATCCTTTCCGCGCTAAGGGCTTGCTCATCCGACAGCCACAATTTTCACTGCTGGACGCGTGGTATTATGACGCGCGCTTCACTACCGCAGCGCCGAACGAAACTTTAATGAATTTTAAGTTCTAAGAACGCCCTATAGTTTCAGAATCGTTTAAGAATTCATATCATGAGTGTAGATACAGTCTTGTATGCAACTGTTATGATAAGATATTAAAACACTTATGTGAATTATTAATATTAATAACAAGTTATCTTCGATTGGCCAACTTCCATTTCTATACCAAGTTTTTTTTATATATTCTAAGTACCTGTAATTTACGACAATGAACAACATTAAAACCATAGGCTCGAATGTTAGAAATCGATTAAACGAGCATAGGAAACTTTTACTATTCGTAGAATCTGCAATATTTATAGATTTAATGGGCTTACAAATGGCACGCTGTCTGCCATCTTAAAATAACACGAAGAGGGAAACTGTAAATCAGAAGAGGCTATAAAATCCATATTAATATTGTAATAATAGAGTAGCTAAACGGTTTATATTTCCGCTTATGCCAACTGCATACACAAAAATAGTTAACTACTTAATTACCAACTTACAAAAATATATAAGAAATTAATAAAAATTTTCATTGAGAAATTTATAAAAAAGCGGGTCAGTTAACTACTTTATTTATAGCCAGCCATTTCTAAAGATTTATAGTTATTGACTTAATTCGTCTAAAATAATTAATATAAATATCAACTGAATTAATGTCTTTCACCATTACTATTAAATAAATTTATACACGAGTTGAATCGTAAATACAATCACTGCCGGATTAAGGGGGAGGGCAACCGGGACGAAAGCCCCGGGGCCTCCACAAACGGGGGTCCCCCCCAATAGAGACTTCGGAAAAAAAATCTTCAAATTCCAACTAATAAACACTAGTAAACATCTTTTCCTTTGATATTTTGCTCTTTTACCTTTACCTACAGCCTACAGTACTTTGTACATCTAACATACATGATTATTTGATTATATTAATCTTAAATAACAGAAATCATTGATCTAAATTATTTATTGAAAAAGTCGACTAAAAAAACATTGTTTACTTTATTTGGAAAATAATTTGGGGTGAGGGGGCCTCCGCTCCTCTGTTGCCGAGGCCTCTGGACCTCTAAAGTTTCGTTTTCATTATGATTGTATTCAGGGCCGCTGAATACAATCATAATGAAAACGAAACTTTTTTAATACGTTTGGGATTTGACGACATACAATGACTTGACATCAAATATTAGAAAGCCTATTCTTTACAAATAATATTTTTATATAATATAAATTAATGGGAAACTATAGTAATTTAATACATTTATTGTAGCTAAAAACAGTACCTATTAAAAATACAACGTTATAAACCTCATTACATTATTAAGAATAAAAAACTGAGTTGTTTATGAGATAATATTAGTAATAACTTGTTATATAATAATAATTACGACAGTATGGCTATTTAATTGGCTAAATATACGATCATTAAGGGCCATGCCATAATTTTCAGTCGCTTATGTTGGTGATATAACCATGTTTAGAAGAAATGACGCATTATTATCAGAAACCTGTAAAGTATCTTATGCAAGACTCTAACACTATTTTGATACTCTTCATATATGTACAAGTTCATGATGAGATGGCAGAAAAGCAAATTGTTGAAGTAAATTAAAAGAATTCTTAACATTTATTATGCTACACTTTACCAGTTCTTCAAGCCTTGACCCAGAACTCTCAAATAAGCGGAACTTACCTTGGACTGCTGATGCGTGCTGATATTGTCTTAATTTGACCATGAGAAAACAAACAACCAGAGATGTTGATGATAATAATCGTAGCATTACGAAGTATTATTACATTTATGCATCTTTATAAATACGCCAGTGACCTCGTGATGGTCTCTGATGCAAGTAAAAAATACGGATTGTTTTGATGTCAACTATTTGCATCACAAAGAAGTGATTATACGCTATAAAGGTGATATAATAACGATGGGAATTTCCGTGAGGTTTTAGGTAATAGTAATTCCTACATATTTAATAAAAACGAACACCACTGTTACTGGTAATGCGACTGACGAATTGGGAATTGCATTATAAAATTTTGCATTTGAATTAATTATAATTGCATGCACGTCAAACTGTAGTAATAAATTAAGTATTAGGTAACTTACGTAACATACTTCTGTTTTTATGTAAAAATGCTTACAACCAAAGATACGACCTGCCTTATTATCTGCGACTCGAATACTTTATATAGTCTTGCCACATAAGCTGTGATATTCAGTTTACCTTATTTTGTGCAAAAACACAACATAACAATCTATACGGATACTTCCTTAAGTGTTGTGCTCCATTTCGATGGTAAATCCGCTTAGGACCTCTGGTAAAATACAATTTCTTGATATGAGAAAGCTTTGTTGCATGTGAAAATCGATGAACATATAATTATCAAAACATTAAGTACTACCCGCTGAATCATTGGGTTGGAAACATAAACGCAATAAAGAAAGGAGGACTTAAAGACCAATATCACTTTGGAAGTAAATTTGACAAAACTCTTAAAAAATTTGAGGCTATTATACAACGATACTATCTTTAATTTTTAAGTAATATGAATGAAATATCTTGGGTAACTCATTATCTTTGTGCCACCCAAGATAATACGTGTATTGCTAGCCAAAAAATCAATGTGGCTTACATCAATACCCCATACAATGTGTCGGTATTTGAACTCGCATAACTTTCTTCAACTGGAAGCGCTGGATTCCATAGTTACAAGCTATTAGTCGAAGATTCTTACTTCAGCAGCTTCGGAGCTTAAAAGAAAATTTCCATCCTACCACCACCAAAATTTCTGTTTCTGTGCTTCCTTAGGTCTCGTATTCTCGATTACGTCAGCTACTAAGCTAACGTGATCTCATGGCAGACCACCATAATAAGCGCTTAGACCGCTATTGAAACAGTATGTTTACAATTATTATATATTTATGCATCCTCTACAGCGGTATTATCAATAAAGAGCTGTGCATTGTGTTTTATTTTATGAATAAAAACTGAGAGTACACAGTGATAAATCATGTTAATAAAAGCCTCTGATAATTTCGAACATTCTCGACAACCTTGAAGAATGAGGACAACAACAGCTGGTTTTAAACGATAATGTCGATAAAACAATGTTGACCAGTAATATAATGTTCGTGTGGCCTTTTTCAATCTTACATTAACTTGATAAAGCTTATTAATAAAGGAATATCGATAAGCCAATTAATTTGCTTTAAAACTTCAATGACATATTTCTTCTATTAAAATATAAAACTGAATGACTGTAATATTTAAACGCAACTTTGTAATAAAAACATGGAAAGCTTTCAAAGTATTCAATACTTTGAATAACAGTGACCAGAATATGTTTACATGTTAATAGTTTTTCATGGATATAAATGATTCCGTATTATCACACGAGTAAAGAAACGTACAGATAGAGTTGAAAAGTTCAATTGATGAGAATTTGCAAGCTTATTTTTTTTATGCCTGTCGGTATTAGATTTTGTTATTTGACAAAACCCATTCAGACACAACGATAACCACTGCTATTGGCAACCGATTCATTTAAAACCTTGAAACGTCTACAGACTTATTCTAGTAAATATAAATTTCAATTACCTTTTCCGAGTTATTAAAATGACAAACCATATTTTTTGCAATATATTATTGGTCACTTATTATTTATTACTCACTATCAGTTTTTAAAAAGATAAGGTAAGAGATATTTGTTTACTCTTATCACACACCTTTATCACGTCGATAAAATGAGTTATTCCGTTCATAGAGATAAGTCTCATCCAAAATCTCTCAACAAGATTTGATAAGATTTCCATAATAATAATCATAATTTCTGAACGCCGGAACCGATTTAGATGTGTGTAGTAGGTATCATTAAAATCTTTTCACCACACCGGGTAACGAAGCCCTAAACTGTTAAAAGTTTAATAAGAGCACATTGCGAAATGTCAATCATTTATGTCAATAAATAAAATTCTAATGATTACAATATAAGTATCACTTATAAGGTCCTAATTAGACCATATCAAATATAGTAGCGGCTTTACCGGCAATCGTGTTTTTTTATTAATAATGTTATTATTGCGAATACAATCACATTTAACGAGTTCACTTTATGAATACGTCAATTATATACATGGCATAAGAATCGGAAATAAGGTATACCTTCCCAATTGAAGTAATTGTACTCGATAATATGCGAGGCCACGGAGCCAAGGCCAGTCAACCCAAAGCATTTACGACTTTTTATGTTCTTCCGGTACGAGTACGTACCGTGTTATTTATAAACAACATTATGTTTTATTTATGAAAGACGTAAAACCCAATGTTTTGTTGAGTCAATCAATCTACATACAAATCTTATTGTGAATTACACAAATGCGAAGAATCAAGTTGTTATTTTTTTTAAATGTTTTCAAGCATTTGTGAAGCTCTGTAACTTGGTTATTATTTACTATGCCTGATAGTGACTCACAATATTTGCCAAGCCGTCGGTCGGAACAACCGACTGACTCATACAAGCGTAGCGAACTAGCGAATCAATACAGGCCCCAATATAATTAATCTAGTTGGAGCTTGGAAAAAATAGGACACATTTGATACTTCATTAGGAAATCACATTATTGGATCTTTTACTGGAAATGTTTTTGTTAAACTCACATTAGAAAGGGAGCATTTTTATGGTGAAGTGCTTTGAAATTAAGTTTAACGGTGGAGTAAGTACGCTGTTCAAAAACTTGGAATAAGGAAACACACACAAAGCATAATGGAATAAAAAGATATCTCACCGTAGCAGTCTTTCGTGTCTCTCTCTATCATACGTCGCCGCTGCGAGGTAGTCATCAGCGATGGCGTGGTGCAGCGGCCCGTGCATGGGCGCCTGGTACCGCTGCTTCCACAGCAGCTCGTTGGCGTAGAGCGCGGGCGGCGGCGGGGGCAGGTGCAGCAGGGGCGGGGGTGGGCCGCCGCCATAGCCGTGCGCCATGCCGCGCCACTCGCGTTCCTCCACCGAGCTCGCCGACCCACCGGAGCGCACTCCACTCACGCCGGAGTCGGACCTATCGTCCGCATCTCGCGCGCACACTATCACACAGTCGTCCTCCTCTGAGGCCACGGCGCTAACAACACCATCCGCGGTCGCACCACCACTCACTTCACTCCTCACTTCGACCTCACTGTTAGTAACCACCGTCGGCTTGTTCACTTCCTCTTGTTTCACACACGTGTCGTTTTCCTCACTGACATTGACGACATCACTTGCACTCACACTTACGGTAACACCTGTAACAAAAGAAAGAACCCATAAAATACTTGTCAGCATATCAGAAAGTTATATTTTTTTTTTAGCATTAAACTGCTAGATGTTTAAATATAAAGAAAATTTTATTAGAAAAGTTCCACGCGCGCCAGGCAGCAACACATTTTCTTGGAACAAATCATTTATCATTATTATAGCTCCAATTTCTCCTGTCATGTTTAGCTATATCAGCTGAATGTTGTCAAACTGCTGACGTCGTTATGCCCCTACTGTTGATACGTTTGGGCTGACGCCAACACAAGCTCATTCACACGCCGCCCACTCAGATGCACAAAAATATGTATTGTATGCGGACGCGCGTCGCCATTTTCAAGCGATTCACCATCACCAGCCAATTTAATACTGTCACTCAAAATCAACGTCAAACTAACGGAAGAGATAACTAGTTACTATTTATGTAAAAAAAATGGAAATAATAATTTAGATGGCTACGATAATCTGTTCGAATTATATTCGGCATGTCGTAATGTAAGCTAGGTTACAATTAAACCGTGTAATTGTTCAATGAGGACGTTTTTTATCCGAAATATCCTTGACGGTGTTATTTGTTTGCGTAATAGGTATACTTTCACACCCGTGGCAGTAACGATGAATATCGACCTTGGTTTCGAATTGCGTGACACGGATCGTTAATCAAAACCGATCGTCGATGTCAGTGCCTATTTTCTTGCCCACCGGAAAAGGCAAGCGAGGAGAGGTGTAGAGTACATAACTAGATTATTTCATGTCTGATGACGTTGGCAAATCGGAGTTGTAGCATACCACACGTGAATGGTGAGGTTAATTTCTCTCCATAATAACTTTGCTATCAATTAACAGTAGAACGCATGTTTTGAGTAAGTTTGAAATACGACCGCAGTGATAGGTATGCAGTCAGATTTATGTCGACGATTACTTCGGATCGCTGTAATAACTAAATACCTACAATGCTAAGGAATCATCCAATTGCTTATAATGGTATATAAGCGGCTGAATCACGAATAAGAGACATATGTATATCTATGAATATATGATAATTTATGCATACAAAACAAATATTAAAAACTTAGATTATGTGTGTGATATATGATGAACAACAGCTATCAATTATGTTGTTTTATTAAAAACAAAAACAGCTCATTACGTCAGCAACATAAACTTACATGTTTATCACCTCGTGAAAAGTAAAAACCCGTAAAGTTTCTAGCGGAAAATAATACATTGGAGTAAAACATTTAATAGTTAAAGTATAAAAGAGAATTTAAGAGAGAAGAGACAATGATACTTTTTATAATTCAAAATAGTAGGTATAATATAATGAAATAAATCCTAAAAGGAATTCAACACGTCACCTACACAAAAGTTTGCGTGTCGAGCGCACTACAATGGAATTTTAATGAGCTACTGTTAACGAGGATCCGCATTTACATAATCGCATTAATAATTATTATTCATAAACAAACGTAAACAGAAGAAACGGATGGCGCGCCATTGTAGTTCGAACCCTGGTGATTATAGCGGCGTGCGGCGCGGCGTGCGGCGCGGCGTGCGTAATGATATGATAATAATGCGGTTCGGTCCGATGCACTGGGGAATGACTGGGGCGAGTTATGCGGGATGGCTAGCCAGTGAAACCGGCATTCTTCTCCTTTAGCAGATTACTTTCAGACCATTCGATATGGACTTTAATACTTTATAAACAATTTTTAATTTTAATTAGCCACAATGGGAGAATATCAACAGGATAATTATGCATTGCTCCGAAAAAAACGAAAGACATGTTGACTACAATTTAAACAATTAGTAAACAGACGTATTCGATAACAGGAAATTCATAACCTTATCTTCAGACAATGTCAAAAGAATACGAGAGTCGGAGAAAACAAACTAAGTTTCTTTACAAACAAACGACTATTGAACGAATGTAAACAAAAGTTGTGAGACAATGCGACAGCCATCAGCGGACAGGGACAATGGAGTAACAAATAACTCTACGGGGAAGCGTGGCAACGCCGCCGCGACGACGGCTGATTGACAAGACAAACGCTAAAGAGAACCAGTAAGAGCTTTTCATTAGATAGAAACGAAAGGCACAAAAGTTTAAACACAGATATGGCAGAACGCAGCAGGGCGGGGGGAGCTGTGCCCCGAGCGATGGCTATAAATCCTGATTCCTGACCACCGCTGCTTGAATTATGTATGAAGGGCGAACTGCCACATCCGTATGCTAGCGCAATCTTGCAACTATTGCGAATAAAAATACACATCACAAGTCATATTAAATAAATTGCAAGAACTAATAAAAGGTATAGACACTCACGAGTGAAGTACAGATTCTCATAGGTAAATAGATTTACCAACGTATTATAATGAACATTTTAAACAACCTATTGTGACGTTTTTTGTTAAAACCGCAAATCAGTATACGCAATTCCAAGTGGCGTGGTTTTGAATTATTCATTTCAGTGCAATACCGTTTGCCGCGCCATTAGTTAACTATGTAGGTCTTCTCGGAACAGCTAAACCGCAAATACATACATGACATTATTTATTGCGTCAGTCGCTAGGCACTGTATGCTTGGCAAAACAAGAACGTATCTATTTCAATATACATTAACAACGAGAACTACAGACATGAGGTCAAGAGGTCGAACTCATCAAAACCATTATGTTGTTGAAAGCACGTCTTTCTTTGAAGGAAGTCCGCTGCACGCTGGCCGCGTGAGTTGAAACGATCAATCAAGTCATTATATACGTTAGCATGTTCACGAATATCATTAATAAGCTTTAAATAAAGTTAAATGCCGGTTTGATAAATAATAATATCGTGAACAGGAAAGGAACAAGAATACATTCCATTTCCATTATATCATTATCACCGTTAAGAGTTTAAAATCTATATCTATGATATATCTATTATCTATGATAAATAAAGAATAGCATGTCTAATCAGATAAAACGAAACTGTAAAAAGCAATAATCAAGTAATATGCAATCACTACATTATCCGGTCGTGTTTGTGGAGTCAAAGCCATCTCGTTAAAACCACCAGAGCGTATCGAGTCGCCAACCGTGTAATGAAACACTTCCACTCGGCCAACAACCGTTAATAGGACATTTAGCAGTAACAAAGCTTTCTCAGCACTGCCACAATAAAGCAATTATCTCGACTCTGGTTATCTTGCGTAACATAATATAAGAATGTGTCAAATCTTCAGTTCCACTACATTTGCGAATATGAATCATAATTCATAACAAAAGATTATACAATCTTCCTACCCGCAAAACAGCAGTTAGCCTACTTTACTGACCAGGAAACTACTTCCTAAGGATAGGTATTATATATAATATCCACCTAAATCAGCTATCGTGACTTGACAACGAATACAATACCACCTTTATATAGCGTATTTAGCATCACGACTGGCGGCGTGAAGTAAATTGCGCAACATGCTATTGAAAGCCACGGAGCCCACGGACGGAGGCGAGCGAGCAGCCAATCTTCCTCCATCTCACGACGCGTCCCGTAGGTTCGTGACTGGAATTCTTGATTCCCCTGACAACACCGCCATAACCCCACGTCCAAATCTAAGTGTGGCGTGTGACCGTTCACTATTTTATTTTAGAGCTGATGAAAGATTTTAAGACATTGAGTTGGTTCCTTCGTAGCACATTGAATCCTAAAACTATAAAAATTTGGTGATTGCAATATGCTAAATGAGAGAATATAAAATAACTCGATGGACTGCTTAAAGAGAACTGCTTTTAGTACAGCTTCTTATCAGTAAACTATTAATCTTCATTGATTATATTATATAAAAGCAATTAGGTACGCGCAAGAAAATAACTCTCGTGAAAGACATTCTAAAAAGGACTCGAGTTTGCAATAAAACATAGTTAAAGTTTATTTAAAGAAATATTGTAAAAGCTTATTAATTGAAAATTATATACAATTAAACATTACACACTGAACAGTGTTTGAAACATTTCATAACAGAAAAAAATTATACACAATGTAAATTCCTATAATGACTAAAGAAGGAATCCCTACTCTGTGACAGAATTACTTAAATCTTTTTAGTGGTTCGGCCAATGAGGAACTGCTTATTTCGAATAAGTGACCTAGTCAACTGAAATATCACTGATTAGTTGCAGTTTAGGAGATGAACGATTAAATAAAAATATACTTTAAAAAATAATATAAACTGGTTTGAAATGTTGACCAATTAGACTAACTACGAAACTACCATTCTTATTCTTGCGATAATGTTAAAGTTTCAATATTAAATCGGTAATTATTACAATTGAATAAGTTGGTAGGAACTAAAGTTATTATTTCCGGCAGAACATAAGTGAAAAAAAAAGAGAAAAATACTTACCCTTCTTTTGGCTTCTATAATCAATTAATATTTCTAGTCACCAAGCAGCTTTGGAATTGTAGCCTAGTAGAGATTTCTTTTCAACACTTATCTTATCAAAATATCAGGAGATTTATCAATATCATTCACACGTAGAGGACACAAAACTTTCTTCGTAAAAACAAAATGGAACACTCGAAGTCACTATCACAGATTTCACAGGAAAGTAGTAATCCTGTTTTGTATCTCCGTCTCAGTCCTAATTGGCAACCGTCTTGAAAAAATGCTGTCTAGATTCAGACTTCGTCACAGTGGCACCACTTCCAGTCGGCTACGACTATGTACGAAGATTCACGAATCAAATAGTTTCCTTGCAGACGTTGCACAAACAAGCGTTAACGTCAGTGGCACACAAAGAACTGAAACGCGGGGAATCGTCGGCCGGTGGAAGGGGGCGAGGGGAGGCGGTAGCGCCAGTCTCGCGGGCCGCGGGTGCTCGCGCGGCGACGACGACGTAGCAGGCAAAGTGCAAAACGTAGCTAGCAACAAGTGAACGGTAGCGCGGGTGTGAAGGAGGGCACCAAGGGGGATTGGGGCTCGCCCCCCGCGTATACATCGAGCACCTG